ATGTTTGAATAAGGTTTCCAGTAACAAAAAAGCGTGTTATGATCAATTAAATGCGCTGATACGTCATTGTGCTGCTAAACACATAACTCTGAGTGGAGTGGTGTACCGCTCCAAGATGGCCACCCTAAATCTTGTCAGCGATAATAGGCGAGAGCTGTCCATGAGGCGTCTATTCTTATATTATGTCTATGGGTGTATTAGCTGGAGCGAGAAGCATGGAAGATCAGAGCGAGTTTGGGAGAGCAGAGCTGCAGGTTGGTTAAGTGTAACATTCTGTTTTTTTCTTTAATCTTGTATGATGCTGATAAAATTATACTAACTTTAGGGGTTTCCGGTCGTGAGCTGAGGGATAAGAGAAACACAAAACCGATTGTATGCCTTATGAACTGCGGAATTGGTGTCATTTTATGAAGACTTAGCGTTAGTCGATATCAATCCGGATGCTCTATTGCGACTCTGAACAAACAAATTGAAGAACAATGAGGTGTCTTAAATATTTATTTAAAAAAGTATTTGCCTAGCTTGATAATTTTTACATCTTTGGTGTTGATTGATTTTTGTATGGAGCATATTTATCGACTTTTTAATAATAAGATTTATCTTGAATTTTTGTATTTATTTGGAAATACTTATTGATTAGTAAAATGATTATTAGTGCAATGAGTGCCAATCGTTATGTTTTTGTGTGCACACTGGAATGTTTTGATTATATATATTTGAGACTGGTCCTGCTTTATTATACAGGCCAGGTTCGATGGCGAGCTGAAGATTCAGGTCTAAGACCCTAAAAGGATTTCACCTGTAGTGTCAAAATATTTGGTTTCCCCACCAGGCTGGTGGGAGACTTCCTGCAGCCCATGAACAAAACTGTTCCCACTCTGATCTGACTTTTGTCAGCCTAGGAACTGCAGCAAGCACTCTAACCAACTCACTTGACCCTGTTGAACCACCCCAGTTCGGGGGGCAGGGAGTGGGGGGTTATAAACTGAATGCTGTGGCTTGTTGCCGGAACTACGGAACTGATTTATGTTTCTTTGATTTGTTAATTTAATTGTTTTCTTTGTGTATTTTTTTTAATTCAATATGGCCATTTGAATGTTTTTTTTCCTATTGTAATGTACATATGTATAGAATTTTTCACTGTGAAAACAAGGCACTCACATCTGCAAACTTCTAGTCTGTCTACTCATTTATGAGTCGTATCTTGACTTCTGAGAACAAGCCCATCGACCTTGTTGGTCATGATCTATTTTCAATTATTTAGAAATATAGTATACTGCTTACACAGATATGCTACAATAACTTCTTTGGTACCCCGTTGGCCCCCACCTAGAACCGCCCATGGCTGCAGGTCTGGGTCTGGTGCATTAATGACCACTGAACAATGAATTCATAAAATATATAAACATTTCAAAATAAAACATACAGAAAGCCCTAAGAAACCTTTTAAAGTAGGAAGTATTTATGTATTTACTGTTAATCTAATGTATGATTTGTTCTTTAAATGATCATCAGTATTATTTTGGCTGATATTATTATGCATTAAATAAGCGAATAATCAAACCAATATAGTCTTCTAAAAGCACAATAAGAAACTTAATCATAGCAAAATGTTACCATATCAGGGTCTGCTGTGTGCCTCTCCTGATCTATTCTGTCTGGTGTCGCACTGCGCCACGATGGACACTTTTTTTTAATTGCCTGTATTCATCTTCACTAACATTATTCAGCCTGGGATTTATATCTTCCTTCTCACGTCTGTATCTTTATGAGAGGTTTTGCTTCTAAGGATGGTGGAGAATCGGGTCGAGGACGTTGTAAAAAGACCCGGGTTGATAGCAGCTCACTGCGGCTGCGTAGTGTCCGTCTCTAGGCAATCCTGACAACAGCGTTCAGGGGTCCTTTAGCTCCCGCAACGACAAACATAAATACGTAGACGTCTCATGGAGCAGGTCGGCCCGTTGCTGCGAAACGTTACAGCGTCCGCCATATTGAATGTGGAATATGTGCCAGTAAGCTAATACAAGTAAATGGACCGAACTTCAGAAAGTGCCATTCTACAAATTATTTTAAATTAATATCTGTCATTGACACATTTTCTCACACACATTAATATATTTGGCAATCAAAGAAATGACTATAGACAGATTTTCTAACTTTTGATGTGATTAATTGTTTTGGGGCATTTCTGATTAAAGAGCACAATGTTTTTGTTTGATAGAAATGATTTTGATCATTATTATATTGGCATTGATGAACAGACACACTTTTACAGTGTTTTATTAA